GTTCACTGCTTCGCTGTCAAAACCTTTGCAAAAGGCAGATCTACTGAGTAAGTCTTTTTTTATCCTGGGTGAATTCATTGATTGACAATCTACCTAGCGGTGATGAGACAACTTGGTTTCAAAACAACCACATTACCAGGCGGCGGGCCTCAAAGTCAGACAAAACTAACGGCGATTTCATGACACATTTCACGACGTTCATTATTATGTTGCATTTTCATTTTCCATGCACTCCCTATTATAACACATCGCATCTTCTGTTATCTCTTTTTTTGTTTTTTTTGTTGCAATTGTAAAGCTAGATTCAACACCAAAATGTGAAGTGTGACATGGTAGGCGCTCGATCAGTTGCGACCATCATCCGTTCGTTTCATTACGCCCAATGTATTCGCAGTACAGTAATTCCGAAATTACTCGTAAGTTTTCAAGATTTTCTGCTGGCTGAATGGGCTCATAGTTGTTGAAGCACCTTGGCTGCAGCGTCGAAACCGTGCCGCTACTGGGCCATCGGGGTCACAACATCCTCAGCTGCTTATTCCTGGCGCTGCACCACCTACAATTCATAGACCTGATATTCTATTTACTCCAACTGCCGCTGAACATCGTCCATATCAGCCCCAGCATGTCGGTCCGCAGCTTCCAATTCATCACATATACAGGTCTCGGACAGAACCTCCTCCGGTTCCAGCGAAACCAGGGCCAGTCATTCCTCCGAGACTCCCTTTTCCATCCCGGAAACCAGAGATACCATCCTCGATACCAGATGAGCAGGTGGATGATGAGTCGGAGGACGAACTAGAAGCGGTACTTGCCTTGTCTCGGACAGAGTCGAGCAGGCAAGCAGAACTTTTGAACAAGATGTCGAGTCAAGAAGAGGAAGACTTGGCCAGGGCAATGGAGCAGTCCATGCTAGAAACAGAATTCAACAATTCTTATACATCGGCACTCTCAAGAGGTTCTCCCACAATCTATTCCAACCAACCGGGTCCTTCAAATCCTTCCCTTCCTGAGGCTGAAGAGGAAGAGGATCCTGTTCTGGAACCTACAACTCCTAGACCTCGCTCTCCTTCGCCCAAACTCCTCGATGATCGCCCAGCTTCTGTAACATCATCGCAGATCTTCGACGATGAAGCTTTAGCGAGACAGTTGGCTGCAGAAGAGGAGGACCTGGCTGCTGAGGAAGAGGAAGAAGAGCGTAAGCGTCAATTAAACGCTACGACATCAGCACCACCAGCTGTCGAACCCATTCCGACCTATAGTGCCCCAACCAGTCCTGACGATGCAGCATTTGCTCGTGAAATAGCGGTCAAAGAGGAGAAGGAAATAAAAAGCACTCCTCCCAGTGTCACTGATGAGCCTGCGCCTCCTGCCTATGCGGATTCCATGTCACCAAAGTCGCCGGAGCAATCCCAGCAATCCCTCAAGGTCCAGCCTGAATTGATTCGAACCAACTCGTCTGGGTCTACCGCCTCTCATACGAGCTCATCTGAAAACTCCACCGCGTCCAACAGCGACAAGAAGCTGGCTTCTGTAACTTCATTTAGCTCTGAAGACGAACGAGTATCGAGCGTGGTCAGCGCCAATCATTATGTCGATGAATCATTGTTTCATGGTGTCTGTAAGTTTTTAACCTGCTTCTACGATAATGTCTTCTGACGCTCAGTAGCGGTTGGTTTCATGCCGCCCATGATTTCTGTTGAGCTACGGCCTATGCAAGGTGTAATGCCGAACATCATATCACTGCCGTATGGTCGATGTCCACCTTTACATCTTCAGGCGCCAACTTGGAAGGTCCTTTTGAAATTGATGGCCTCGCTCGGTGGTACCAGGATTGAACCGACTGTCGAAGCCATGGCTGTGACAAAGACAGACTCTCTCTACCTTCGTACGGTTATTCAGTTCATCAAGGCAAGCTTTTAGTCCTTCGCACAAGTTCCATTGACAAATGTTCTTTATAGCCTCACCAAGCTGCTTATGAATGGCGGACAGTGATCTGGTTTACTATCGACCATCCTGTTCCGCCTGCGATGCCAGGTGCTCGCAAATACATGAACAACGACGTTGACATGCTTCCATGGTCTTATTCACTGTCAAGTCTCCCGGCGCTGCTACGAGATGGCGCTGACAGCCCTGTATCAAAGGCTTACACAGTGCCTGCTACAGATTCGATGCCTTATCCATCTCTTCCGATATCTTTCCCCAATCTCGCGATGTATCTTCATGCTGCTCTGGCTGAATCCCGGCGGTTCACCCACGACAGTTCTAGTGGTGTCCGGAAATTGGGCCGGATGGTCGATACTTGTTATCCTGGTTCTGATACCACTCCTTCTGGCTCTTCTGAGCGCAGCGTCGGTGGCCTTTTCAAAAAGGTCATCGGACGAGGCAATAAAAACAATAAAAAGGGACGAAGTGGCAACGAGGATACTTATGATCTGGTCACACCGTTTGTACCAGACCAGTGGGGTTGATAATGTAGTTTCTATTTTCTATCTAAAGGTGCCCTGTATTTAGCCAAAATATTAATTTGGAGGATGATAATAATGACTTGAGACCGGATCGGAGTGCAAGCAAAACTTGGCGTTGACTGTCATGAGTGCACAAAATCCGATCGTTATACCTCCACTGACCGTCGAGGAAGAAGGTGAAAGACATTTCCTCATTTCTACCAGTTATAGCTATTGACCAGAATCCAGACCAGATTGTTCTTGCCCGAATTACGCACGAAGAAAGACCCTTGAGGCGTGTAATCAAGAAATTTCACGCATACGCGTCTCTTTGGACCGCCAACGATCCAGAACTTGACACCAATGTACGAGACGCGCGAGAATCCTTTCTGGTGGAGCTTTCTACCTTTCAGTTGACTCTGCAGAAGAGCAGCATGATCTGTGAAGCCGAGGCGAGACAGATTGAAGAATATGAACGAGAAAGACAGAGGCTCAGTGCGTCATTTTACTACTCCTTATCCTTCTATTTTCTAACTGTTTAGATGATGAATATGGTGTATTGCGTGGACAGATTGAGCAGCTCAAAACCTCGCTGGAACATGCTCAAGTGGCCAGACGCCAAAAAATGGAATACGACCTCATCACCGAAAAGATCAATACACTTCCGAGTAGAGCAGAACTCGAACGGTAATTCTTCTTCGACTGGGGTTTATTTGGATTCTAAATGATTGAAAGCGGTATTGAAGATCTCGACAACGACATGGCAGCGATACGGGCTGAACATGAAACTCAGAGCCGTGTAATCCAGAGCCAAAAATCTTCCCTGGACACTATCATTTCCGATTTGCAAGCTATGCGATTCATTGGCAAAGACAAGGATGCGATGGAAGAGTCTTCGGTTGCGGTCTCATCCAATGCTACTCCAGCTCCAGAAGGGAGTGCTGGAGATAATGCAGAGCCCCTTATAGAGCTATCTGAAGAGAAGGAGGAAGGCGAGGAGAAGGAAGATGGTGAAGAAGAAGAAGAAGAAAATGTCTCGGAAACTGGAGAGGTCATCGAGACAGCCAATGAGGATGACATCGAAATGGGTGAACTCGAGGAGGACGTGAAAGATTTCAAAGGTAAAAAGAAACCTCGAGATGATATGGAAGAAGGAGAGGCTACAGACGCGAGCAGCGAGCTGTCTGATCCTCCCGACGACGTCTGATTATCTATGTATTCATCGGAACTTCTACGGTTAACAAGTCTCTTGCACAGACTACACTTTGCCCATATCCCTGCTCCGCCAGATTTCGAATTCCGTCCATTATTTTCTTTGACTCCATATCCACATCATCATTCCCTGGATAACGCGCTGAAAAATGGTTGAGGATCAACTTGCGCGCCCGTATCTGTTTCGCAAAAGCTGCAGCCATCTGCGGCGTCGAATGACCTCGGGATTTCGCTCTTTCTTCCACGATTTCGTACGTGTCCGAGTCTTTTGTATCTGGGTCGATTCCAGGCAAATGGGCATTTGTAGCTTCGTGAATCAATAAGTCGCATTCCAGTGCCATATCCGATATGGGTGAAGGATCGCAGGTATCACCAAGAATGACGACTTTCCGGCCAGGTCTCCTTTCAGGACCTTTTAGAATTGTTCCATCAGAGAGTTGGACCGAGCCCCCTTGCTGAAGGGTCCTCATGACGCTCATTGGTGTATTGGTGCGTTTGATATCAGGAAGATATTTTTCCTTGTCGATTTTGCCTGCCACAGGAGCCTCAGAGACGACATATCCGACACAAGGAACAGAATGGAAAATGGGAGCTGCAGATACCGAGACGATCTCGTCTTTGAAGATGTCCGTCCAGAAGCCGTCAATCTGAGGGATATTGCGACCAGCAGGAGATTCTGCTGGAAGAGGCGGAAGAGAAGTGTAGTCTCCGGTTTGTGGGTCGGTCGAGAATCTGAGCTCGTGGACTACATAGGGACTGCCTAGCTTGGTGTGGGTATAAGATAGACAATTCCTGACATAGGCGCGAGTACCCAGCGGACCGTATATTTCTAGAGGCTGTTAAAGTTCGTCAGAGTCCAGCCAGTATATCAAAGCAACACTTGCAGGAGTAGAAAAGTCGACATTGTTTCGAGGATCTTCCCCGTCTGTGGTCCCTCCAGCACCATTCAAACAGGCTGCAAGAATGGGAGCAAGACCGAATATGTGGTCGCCTAGAAAACTTTGGTCAGAGTCATTCATTATTCCATTGAATGGGCGAGTTTTACCGTGAGTGTGAGTTATAAAGATCTTCTCTATTCTTCCCATTTTGACCTCGCTTTTTTGGACGCGATTTTGGGTGGCTTCGCCACAATCGAAGAGCCAGACATCGCGGCCTAGACGCAGAGCAAGTGCAGAGTGATTCCTCGTGGAAGATGGCTGAGCTGAAGCAGTACCCAGGAATACTACATTCAATGAAGATATTGCCGACCTTGCTGCTCGCGACATAGAAGAGAGGAAGAGATGACACCCGCATTGCTGACCAAAAGATCAAATCAAGAAGGTCCCACAGGTCCCCGCATCCCGAGTCGGTATCGATTAGGGGTTAAATCACTTCGTTGTGGTCGGTCGTAAAACGGCATAGCTCCGAAGAGCCACAGGTTCGATTCCTGTTACCGACATTTTTGCCTCTAAAAGTATCGCACTTTACGCAGGCCAGGAGACCCGCCCGTGACGGAAACAATGAGAAAGACAAGTAGATAGCAATACAGATATAGATACAAAAAAGTCCATAAATCTTATGGTATGAGACCATGTGTACGCAGCAAAGCAGCCCATCTGCAAAGATACATGAGTCGAGGTCAGCCATAGTTGGACAATACACATACTCTTCTTTCTGAAGCTCAGATTCAGCCAGTTGCCTCTTGAGTTGTCTGGGTTCAGAGTCAGTTCAGGTCAATGTGCTTCAACAAGACTCACGAGTTCTCCTTTGACAAATTATTCCTTGCCTCCTTCGTCTGTCGCAAATCAGTGGACATGGCAGCCCAGGCCTCATCTTCAGGTAGATTCGCGTCGTTGTACATGCTGTCCAGCTCTTCGTTGAAGGCCTGGTCAAAAGTTGAAAGCCGGTTTCCCAAAGCCTGACAAAAACACTCACCTCATACATGATTTCCTTCTCTGTGGTCGCGTCAGTAAGCAAGCTTTTTACAACTTCGCATTGCCGCCTCGAGTTTTGGAGCTCCAGTCGAGCCTTTTCCAATTCAGCCGATTTCTATCCAAACGGGTCAGCTCAATATTTGACCAACCGACTTGATTTACCTGTCTGAAAAGAGTGGCGACATCGTTGAGAGCGCCATGGAGAGCTTCATGGTTGGACAAGGCCCTGGTGAGGTCTTGATCAGCATCCTTCATCAAAATGTCTACATTTCCCGATGTCAGGTCCAAGGATTTCCCTCTTGGGGTAGAATCTCCTTGTCTGTGTCCGATGACGTGGCGCATCTCTTCCAATCGCTCAAGAGCTGCTTTTGACTGTTCAAGCCAAGGTCAGGATATAATAGTTCACAGCAAGTTGGTTTTCGTACCAAGCCAGCTGTAGGGAGTTGGGGAGTACGCAAACCCTTCACAGGAGAAGCAGGTCGAGAAATCACATCCTCGCTATCAGGTCGACTCTCTTCACGTTCAAGTCTGATCCGTTTGACAGCACGGTGACCTGATTCGACCTGTGAACCAGTCAATAAAGCAATCAGCCAAGAAAAAGTCTTACAAACATCTGCTTTTGTTGTCTTGGAAAGTTGAAGAGCTCGTTCTAGCTCGTCAGTGCCGCTAGACGGATTCTGCGATATAGTTTTGACATTCCGAATTGAAGGAGAAACTCGACGTGGAGATGCAATTCGAGCTGTTGTTCTTGACATTGGTGAACTTCTGATAGCATGCTTGCGAGGAGTTGGTGAAGGCGGTTGAACTGCTGTCCCTCGAACAGAAGTTTTCTTCTTGATTGACAGAGGTTCGACGATAGAAGAAGAGCTTCCCGCTGTCTCACTGTTACCAGCTGGAAGAAAAGGTTGACGCTTGCTGCGAGGAATTCCTGTTCTGGCCGATGTACGAGCCAGAGAAGATTGTGGAAGAGCAAGAGGCGTGAGTTCAAAGTTCTTGATAGGTGGTATTGGTAATGTTGATACTGGAGGAGGACTCATGGGTAAAGGTGAAGGAGCTCTTGGACCACCAGGTCGACGTTCAGATTCTCCCCGCGATAATGCCCGTGAAACACGAGTCGGCGAACCAAGTTCATGAGGCGTGACCGTACATTGGCTAGCAGATTCTCGAGATGTCCCAGAGGCTCGAGACGCGGGCCGCAGACCATAAGAAGGATCCTCTGTTCAACTGTCAGTCAGACATTGGAACCGAGACGGCTCGGCTTACCTTCGTATATTGTTGCCTCCATCGGAGCTTCTGAAGAAACAGGCAGTTGTTCCCTTTGATTTTTGCTGTTGCGCCGAGCTAATGCTAATTGCTCAGCGAGGGCCCTGTCTGATGCATTCCGTTGGCGAGCGAGTTCCAGAGGAGATTGCTCATCTTCCACGTCACTATAATCTGAACCTTCACCTCTGGACGGAGATCTTGAAGGAGATTTCGATGAGGACCTGGATGGACTTCGGCCTGGCCTGCCTTCAGTTTCAGACACAGATCCAGCAGGGGAAACACCGCGCTTGAGAAGTTTCTTGGATTTCGGTGGAGACCGACGAAGGAAGGAGCCGTCATCGTCGACGGTAGTAGCAGCGGACATGGTCGAGTTGGACCGATAAGAAAACTTCATCAGACTACCATCTCCAGTTGTAGTCGTCTGCGTATATGTTGACGAGCGACTGGTCGTGGACTTTGTACGCCGGTGACCATTGACAGATCCAGAAAAGAAATCTCCCATCGATGAACCAGTGAAGAGATTCCGCGAAATAGCATCCAAGCCGAAGATAGATGCCTTGGATCTAGCGGTCGGCGTCGAAGGTCGAGAGTTTCTGCCGGTTTTGAATTGGAATAAGCCGAATTGATGTACTGGTGAATCGTTCAAATCAAATGCTAGAATGCAAGAGTCGCAGAACCTACTTGTTAGAATAATACGCGACGGTACCCTTGCCGTTTGCACAATATCCTCTTCACCGGTGTCGGAAGGATCGCTAGAAGTCACTTTGTACCGACATACGCCACCCGCCAGCGGTTGAAGTCGTATAACGACAAATGGCGCAGATTCCATTCCAAAAGGAATCTTGTCGGCACAGCCCAAAGCATCAATATGGACCACGACTTTGGTCTTTGGAAACAGTGAGTCACGCATTCTTGAACCGAAACGAGCAGAACCGACCTTCTTATTCTCTTGCAGAAATGCGGTTCTCTGGTAAACATTATAATATGTCCTCGCGGTCGTCACTCTGTCGCTCTTGGATTCCACCTCGACATCATCGGATCGAAGGACAACAGATTGGCCTGACCTGGCTCTATACTTGGCCTGTACAGCCCAAAGATTCTCGAGGAAACGCTGTTTATCCGCCTCTGACTGTACAGGATCAAGATTTACAGGAGCTGGAGGGTGGACAACGGATAGCGAACGGAAGGCTCGACCAGACCACCGGTCTCCTTGATCCTGCGGGGTAGTCTCCAGATAGAGATGGAAATCTAGAAGCGCAATAAGCATCTGGGTCGAGAATTGGATGGATAAAGTCTTACCGGCACCGCCTACATCGGTAGCGACAACATCTGTGATATCTATCACGCCTTTGCAAATCATCCCGCTCTTCTTCTTTCCTGTAGGAATACCTCCAGCTTTCATCACCTTGTCGAGCTCGTCAAGCCCTGACAAAAGTCGCCCTCCTTTCTCGCCATTTCCAGGGCGTTTGGCTATGAGTAACTTGTCGTCGAACAAGAAGAGAGTACAATGTAGAATGCCCGAGGAAGAACTCGAGATGGAGGCTGATGAGGGAAGAAGCACATCGCCGAGGACATCTTCGACGTCGATACAATCAATGAAGTGACGTCTTGAATACGAGAAGAGATCTGGAGGAAAGGCCTCGATCGTGGCGCTCAAGCAGTAGAGAATAGCGGCTCGCTTCGTCTGTTCGTCTGCTTCTGCGAGAGCAATTTTGCTGGCAATCTCGTCCGCTTCTATGAGCTTGGCACGCTGGGGGTCACCGGGAGCCATATGCTTAATCATGGTTCGGAATAGAAGAGTGTAACGAGGAATTCGTTGAACTGGATCCATGAGCAACTCTCTCAGCCCGACTCGATTCTTCGTGTCGGTAGATTGATATTTGATCCGCTATCCAGCATCGTAAGTCAACGTCTAGCAATTGCACCAGAAAACACTCACATCGATGTAAGCATCGAATGGAGACCCTCTCTTTGACACCTCTCGTTCAAACATGAGCTGCGCGTCCTCCCGCTGAACATAATACTGTCGGTATTGCTCAAAGCCTTTTCTCTCTTTGAAGTGCTTTAGCGCGACGTCTCCAACACCACCGACGGTCTTTGCGCCATTTGGAGCCAGCATCTTTTCGAGATCGGTAAGAAAAGCTTCATTGACCGGCAAGAGGTTGTCTATGTTTCCGAACAGGATTCTGGCTTCTCTGGCTGGAATAATAGCGGTGTTCTTGCTCCTGGCAAAGTTCCGCAAAGGATCGGCATAATCATTCTTCAAGGCCTGGAGACGTTGAACATAGGACCGCTCTGTGGTCACTAGTTCTGATATTACAGAAGCTAACGCAGAGCTGTCTGTCAGGGCCCGTTGACGGGTAGAGACACGGTTCTGAAAGTGTTACGTCAGTTGTTTCTGGTTGGAAAAGGTGTTTTTCGGTTGCTCAACAAGAGAGCGAAATGGGATGATTCGAATGGCGCAAAAAGTGTAACCAAAGCACTCACAGAATCGGAGGAACCGGTATCTGAGGAGTTTGACAACAAGTTGTTGTCTGAATCTGAGCTAAGAATGTCGCCTAACGACAGTACAAGGTCCTGGATTTCTGTTGATGAATTAGGACTGAAACCGTCGTTCAGACGGATTAAAGTGACCTTCAGGCAGCCTTCGTCCATTCTCTGAGCCCTCGATGATTACCCCGCAGAAAAAGACGCGTTTCGTTGTTGTTATTGTACTGGGAGCGTCATATCTTGACCGAGTCTCGTCTCCAGTTGCTAGAGGAAGAGTTTTCCGAGGCGAAGAGCTCAAAGCCATCCGTAGTTCTAGTTTTAAGAGCTCGTCGGTGGTGAGCAGCCGGTGGGTGAGGTTCGATGAGAAATTCGGTCACGTGGCCATGTTTATTCAACGTTTAACGTCGTTAAATAACGATGAAGTTTATTGATATTTTTACTCATTTATGCCTTTTTCTCCTTGCTCTTTCAGCCACCAACTCCTGCAATTTTCGCTTTTTGGTGTCGTGGTTGGATTCGGAGGGCTCTGTACTGGATTCTTCCTGTTGCTCCAGTGGTTCCTCTTCCTCCGTAATGGTACCCATCTTGGAGCTTGAAAATGTGTCAGGACACTGATTCACGACAATGGAAAAACCGAGGTACCGAGTGGCGTCGGCGTCTTCCCGGGGATCTTCCTGTGCTTCGTCGCCAGCTTCGCCCAATCCCTGGTCAAATGCGACCCAGTTTTGGGCAAGTGCAGTCAGCTTGTCCCAACGGTCTACTTCTGTTATCT